CTCGTTACCTACACGGAAGTTATTCTGTTTACTTTTCACACTGTCTTGGCCAAGCAACAGAGTCACTGGAAGTGAGTTTCAGCTCCTGCTGCAGAGCAACGGCACACTGAGGAGGCACCGGGAGGGGCTGCCAGGTCCCCTGGCCCTACCCAGCCCTTTCCCACCACACCCTCGACTGCTGGGGGGCACAGCTGGCATCTGCCCTCCCTGTGTCCCATGAACAGCGCTCTTCACAGCCCGGGGCACCTGCGACACCTCCTGAGTCACATCAGCTCAACATATATCTGCTGAGTGAACAGGTGGTTGGCTTTTTTGTTGTTGTAATCCTCACCTGAGGATATTTTCCCATTGATTTTTAGAGAAAGTAGAAGGGGGTTAAAGTAGAAGGGGTAGAGAGGGAAGGAGGAAGGGAGGGAGGGAGGGAGGGGGGAAGAGAAAGGAGAGAGAGAGAGAGAGAGAGAGAGAGAGAGAGAGAAACATCAATGGGAGAGGGACACTGCGATTGGTTGCCTCCCAAATGCACCCTGGGGCAGGGGATCGAGCCTGCAACCCAAGTATGTGCCCTTGACAGGGAATCAACCCCGAGGCCCTGCTGTGTGTGGGCCGATGCTCTAACCACTGAGTACACTGGTCAAGGCAGATTGGTTGACTGTTTAAGGTATCTCTGATGACAGAGGTGCTAAAGGTCACAGACGCTGTGTAAAGCGGATGCTGGTGCCCGCACAGTACCTCTGCACATGAACGTGTGGGTGTTAGGGCGTGAGCACTACCACGGCCACACAGTAAGTAGCTCCTAGTGCGGGATGATCTGTGCCTGGACCCAGAATCACTCGGATGTCATTCCCGCTGCACGTCAGCAACAGGGTCTGAGGCTGTGTTTTTCTGACACAGAATTTGCCAAATTAACAAGAAACAGAATCAACACACCATGAGCCTTGCTTCAGTGAATAATTTGCTTGCATTTGGGTTCCTGAGACTCTTGCTGATTTGGCTGCAAACAGCTCTGTGAGCTTTGGAAGCCACGAAGAACAAATCTGTAAATACTTGATTCTGAATGTCACGGTATTGCTACACATGCGACGTCTTCAGAGCGCCACGTAGATCACACCATTGCCCACCGCTACCGAATGTCCCAGCACTCTGCAATCTGAGGACATGAACCAGTGCAAACACACTTTGCAACGAAAATAACGTCCTCTCCTCACCAAGTTGATCATCAATTGCTAATTACAAGGATTAAGTTGCAATTAGAAACAAATGCACACGTCACTTACAATATTATTCAAAGTAAAATGAGCTACTTAAAGGCTTTTGAATAAAATAAAAGAAATAATGAAGACTTTATGGGCATTCATGTCCATTGAAAATAGGCCATAAAAATAAGGCTTCCCTGTCACCAGCCCTGGCGAGGGCCACTTAGGGGCTTTAGAAATACAGCTGCTTCTTAGCATCCACCATCAGAAAATGAACTGCTAAGACCCAGGCGGGGACACGTACAAGGCTGACCTTAACGCAGCGGTTCTCAACCTGTGGGTCGAGACCCCTTTGGCGGTTGAACGACCCTTTCACTGGGGTCGCCTAAGACCATCCTGCATATCAGATATTTACATGGCGATTCATAACAGTAGCAACATTACAGTTATGAAGTAGCAACGAAAATAATTTTATGGTTGGGTCACCACATGAGGAACTGTATTTAAAGGGCCAGAAGGTTGAGAACCACTGCCCTAATGGCTGCAGAACTGGTCCAGGTGGATTGCTGGGCACCTACAGCCATCGCTGAAGGAAGAGGTGAGCGTGTGAACTTCATGCTGAGGCCCCTGCAATGTCTCCAGGAAGCCTGGGGGTGCAGCTGCTCACACCTGAAATCTCAGGTGGACTCTGGGGAAATGAAGGTCACCACTGGCACGGGCTCACATTTCAGAGCATCAGTGTTGATAAAACAGTCCTTCTCTTTGCATAAGTTACTGACCCTCAACAATACAGCTGAACGATCTGGACCCTACGAGTTGGCCGCAGAAATTTAACTCTCCTCCTTATTCCTAATATCGCCGTAACCTCCTCCTTATTAGTAATATTGCCTTAAGGCTTGTTGATTGCTGATAAATTTACTTTATCTTATTCAGTTTTGGAAAATTCCATTAAATTCAGGAGGGTTTTTTAAGGAGAGAGTGTTCTATCCTATCTAATAAAGAGGGAATATGCTAATTGACCTTCACACCATCGCAAAAGATGGCAGTGCCCACAGCCAATAAGGAGGGAATATGCTAATTGACTGCCCCATCCTCTAAGATGGCAGCGCCCACACCCACTAAGGAGGAACTATGCTAATTGACTGTCATGCCCTCAAAGATGGTGGCGCCCGCGGTCAATAAGGAGGGAATATGCTGACTGCCATGCCCTCAAAGATGGTTGTGCCCACAGCCACAAGATGGCCAGCAGGGGAGGAAAGTTGTGGGCAATCAGGCCAGCAGGGGAGGGCAGTTGGAGGGGACCAGGCCTGCAGAGAGGGCAGTTAAGGGCGACCAGGCCAGCAGGGGAGCAGTTAAGTGTCGATCAGGCTGGCAGGGGAGTGGTTAGGGGGTGATCAGGCTGGCAGGGGAGTGGTTAGGGGGTGATCAGGCTGGCAGGCAGGCGAGCGGTTGTGAGCCAGCATTCCCAGATTGTGAGAGGGATGTCCGACTGCCAGTTTAGGCCCGATCCCTGTGGGCCTCTAGTATAAAAATATTTAATTCAGGCCAGAAACACTAATTTAAATCCTCTGCTGCAGAGACACGAGTGGGACTGCGGCCTTGGTCACGTCTGTACCCCGTCAGCCTGGCCTTGCCTTACAGGCAGCCCGTAGCTGGCAGAGCACATGGACAGGCCGGGCTCTGTGATTCTCGGCTCTCTCTGCTGTGAACTGTTTTTGTATCTCACTTCCCGATAGTGTTTTCCTTTCACACACTGAAGGGAATTTTCCCCAACATTTGGAAACGTATGGCACATCTATCTTCTACATGTTTTCGCATGTTAACCAGCACGGGGCGTGGTCTGGACAGCAGGAGCCTGAAAACCTCCTCTGTTACTCCTGTACCTGCTAGCAGACGGGACCCACAACCAAGTGTTTTCTCAAATGACAGGATCGCTTTAAAGCTGTGACCGAGCGCGGCTCCCACCTTTAGAGCCAGTCAGAGCTTTGCCGATTTCCTACTTCAGTTTCCTGGATTTTATGAGGAACCCGGAGGCCAATTTCTATGACTGTGCCTTTATATTCGAAGCACATGAAAGGATTTAGACTTCAGCCTTACTTCATTTAATATGTACATTTTTTAAAAAGCACTGGAAATAGTCTAAATTACTAGCAATGGGGAAAGGAGTAAATAGAGTATTCCCATGTGATGGAATCTTAGACGCTTATTAAAATCACACGCCTTGTTTTCATAAAATATTCCATGGCAGGGAAAATTTATCACGATACCATGTTAAATGGAAAAGGCGGATACAAAACTATATATAACATAATTGCATACAGCAGGCATGTACACATTCACACACACACACGCCCCATATGTACATGCAAATATCTAGGCTTCTCAAGATACTGGAAAGAATTAAACTAAAATCTTACTAACCATAAGGGTAAATTTTTCTAACATTTAAGAAATTTTATTGTGAGTGAATTATTTCTAAATTAAAATATAAAGCATTAGCAGGAAAAAAAAAACCCCCACAATTAGCAAAGCACAATGTAGAGCAGTGGTTCTCAACCTTGGCTGCACATTAGAATCACCTGGGGATCTTTTTAAAATCCTGATTTCTGGGGCCTCATCCTCTGGAAATTCTGTTTCGTTGTTACTAATGTTGGGGGCCCACCCCGCTAACAAACGAAACCAGAATTTTCCAGAGGGATGAGGCCCAGAAATCAGGATTTTAAAAAGATTCCCAGGTGATTCTAATGTGCAGCCAAGGTTGAGAACCACTGATGTAGAGTATTGGGGTGTGCTCATGCAGGGATTTATGACATCCCTGCACATGGGTCCACGACAACATCCTATGCATGAGTCCATGACAACATCCTATGCGTGAGTCCATGACAACATCCCTACACATGAATCCATGACAACATCCTGTGCATGAGTCCATGCCAACATCCTATGCATGAGTCCATGACAACATCCTGTGCATGAGTCCATGACAACATCCTATGCATGAGTCCATGACAACATCCTATGCATGAGTCCATGACAACATCCTGTGCATGAGTCCATGACAACATCCTATGCATGAGTCCATGACAACATCCTGTGCATGAGTCCATGACAACATCCCTATCATGAGTCCATGACAACATCCTATGCATGAGTCCATGACAACATCCCTACACATGAGTCCATGACAACATCCTGTGCATGAGTCCATGACAACATCCCTATCATGAGTCCATGACAACATCCTATGCATGAGTCCATGACAACATCCCTACACATGAGTCCATGACAACATCCTGTGCATGAGTCCATGACAACATCCTATGCATGAGTCCATGACAACATCCTGTGCATGAGTCCATGACAACATCCCTATCATGAGTCCATGACAACATCCTATGCGTGAGTCCATGACAACATCCTGTGCATGAGTCCATGACAACATCCCTACACATGAATCCATGACAACATCCTGTGCATGAGTCCATGACAACATCCTGTGCATGAGTCCATGACAACATCCTATGCATGAGTCCATGACAAACTCCTTTGCATGAATCCATGACAACATCTCTATGCCTGAGTCCGTTTTGAGATAGCAGTCATCTCACTTATATCCTAGGATCCTACTTGACTACTGAGCAAGCTGCAAATGCAAGGATTTGGCATTTTGAAGTCTTTTCCATTAAAATATACCCAAGCGAGGCGGACAGTGTCAAAGTCAAGCAGACTCTCCTCAGGAGAGAGACTCCCTGGAAGGCCGTGCTGCTGGGAAAGCGAGGTGCGTATGACAGTGTTTCCAGTCCTCACCTGATGTCGGTGCACGTGATGCAGGTGATGCCCCGGCTGTTGGTTGTGATCAGGTTCAAAGCTACTGATGTTTCTTTGTCAGAGGTCGGGTGCGCTGAACATTTAAAGAAAAATTCCTGCAAGAAAGAGAAATACGATCAAAGACATGGCAGGCAGCCGGCGCTTCCCCGTCTGAACATTTCCAAGGAAACGACCTCAGTAAACACAGTACAATTTCTTAAATGTTAGAAAATCGGGGCAGGAGAAGGGCTCTCTCATTAGGTCTGAGTTAGAAATAAACCAGCATCAGATCTCTCGAGGGGAACGAGTGACCTTGGGCAGCAGTAGGGACGCCCTTTGAAGAGGGTCCAGGAATCTGCTAGCTTTTCCTTCTTGTGCCACGGAGCTGGGGCCTCTGTGCACCGTGGAGCAACGCCCCTCACTGACAAGTGAGTCTCAGACACAAACTCCACGTGGACTCAGGAGGAAGCCTGAAATAGCGTCTTGTGACAAGGGAAGGGATACCCAGAGCAGTGAATTGATTGGCACAAAGCCACACAATCACAGGTGACGCCAGGGCGCGACCCAGCTGCCTACACCATTGGTCGGTGAGCAGCAAGAGTGAAGGACAGAGGAAGGACCCTACTCTCAGGAGGCAGGCACGCCTATGGCGGCTCACAGGGGAGCAGAGCGTGACTCCCCCAGCTCATGCGGAGCCCCACACCTTTCCTGCTCTCCAGCACCCCAGAATCCCGGGGGACCGGCTCCACCCCCACATGGCAGCTGGGATGTTGGAACCTGCACCTCTCGCCTTGTTAATTCATTTGCCTACTCTTGTTCTGCCCCTGAGCCCAGGTCCTCTCCTGGGGCAGCAGACAAGCCACACTGGTTGGGGGCGTTTCTTCTGTAACGTGGAATGCTACCCTTTCTTAAAAATATGTTGTTATTGATTTTAGAGAGAAGAAGGGAGAGATAGAAACATCAATGATGAGAGAGAAACATTGATGGGCTGCCTCCAGCATGCCTCCTCCTGGGGATAAGGCCCAAAACCCAGGCATGTGCCCTGACCGGGAATCGAACCAGTGACCTCTATGTTCAAGAGTCAATGCTCAACCGATTGAGCAGCACCAGCCAGGCAAATGCTACCCTTTCCACTCATCCTTTAAATGCGGCAGATCCTTCAAGGGCATTGAGAGAGAGGGTTAGAGCAATGCCTGACCCCCAAAAGGCTCAGCATGGAGGGCGCGACCGACCCTGTGAATGGGGACTGCTTTTTGTCAACATGAAGAAGATCCTCCCTCACAGCACAGAGTAATTCCTGCAGAAGAGCCGAGCTGCGGGTGTTGGGACAGTGCTTCACACCCAGACGAAAGACAGGCGCACTTATGTTTTCTCTGAGCTTGCAGAACCCATGGCAGACACCCTGCCAGCAAATCACCAAGTGCTCTGCCAGCAGATAAAACCCCGCAGACAATTGCCCGAGTCCTTTCTGGGGGCACGGGAGTGCTCACCGATCCTGGTGGGAGAGGAAAAGATCTGCGGGAAGCTCCATCATTCACATGATGCGATAAAACCAAACTGGAAATTACTAGCCCTGTCTATGAAATACGTCTCCCTCTCTCTCCCTCTCTCTTTCTCTCTCTCTCTCCCTCCCTCTCGCTCCCTCCCACTCTCTCTAAAAGAAAAAAAAAATCAATGGAACAATATCCTCCAGGGAAGATGAATAACAACAACAGCAAAATAAAAATCCAGGAATAATGGTACAGGTTTGGA